AGTTTCTGCTGGCTGCACGAAGATTCCGAAACGGTGCACGCACCGAGTACATTATATCCCTGGATGCTAATGATTTCTCTCCAGCAAGCAAAGCCTATGTTGGGAAATTGAGGTGAGGATATTCATCATGTAATCCTCACTTTCTCAAACTGCTGTAGTAAAATTGCTTATCCTGATTTATGTTGGGACCAATTAAATCATTTATCCCATTCAAGGTTATAGGATCATAAATATGTGAACTTAAAAGTGGAGAAATAATCATATTGCACTCCAAAATCAGTTGGTAATATGATCTTTTCATAAGCTTCTGCGTAAAAGTAAATTCTCTAGGAACACTTGGTATAGTCTGCAGGTTGATTTCGGCCAAAATCCTCCGATGAAGCTTAAAAGATTATATTCTATTAAAACGCTGCATCTAGTAATGTTGAGTTAATAGTCCAAGTTGTAAAAGCTAATTATCTGCTGACATCCTTATGAAAAAAATGTACCTTCACTATAGATGTACTTTTGTTAAAATAAAAAATAAAAATAAAATAAAAAATAATATCTAACTGCATTTCAATTACTTATCCTTTTATGTAAAAATTGAGTGAAATCAAATAGCAGAAGTTCAGTTCATCCCGAAGCCCATTTCGTGCCTCGTAATTTAATATATGGGAAAATACAGTCACATTTTTTATGTAATTATCGGTAAAACTTTGAACGATCTGCTCGTTTTCCTTTTGGCAGGTCAGATTTCCTCGGAACAAATTTCACGATATACGACAGCCAGCCACCACACAGCGGAGCAAAGCCGTCTAGCAGTAAGTCAGATCGCCGTGTTGCCAGCAAGCAGATAAGTCCCCAAGTCCCAGCTAGCAACTTCGAAATCGGGCAAGTTTCGTACAAATTTAACCTCTTGAAATCGAGAGGCCCCAGAAGAATGGTTTGCTCAGTTTCTTGCCCGTTTTTTCCAGAGAAAGCATCATCATCAACAACTCATAAAGATCCCGATTATTATTGTTATTCCAAAATGAAAAAACCAGAAACTACTGTTCTGAAAAACAAAGCTCCGAGATGGCACGAAAACTTACAATGCTGGTGCTTGAACTTCCATGGCAGAGTAACAGTTGCATCTGTAAAGAATTTTCAACTTGTTGCGACAGTTGACCAAAGTCAACCAAACGGGATAGGTGATGAAGACACTGTGCGGCTACAGTTTGGGAAAGTGGGAGATGATACTTTCACGATGGATTACAGCGAGCCTTTGTCGGCCTTCCTGGCTTTTGCTATTTGCCTGACGAGTTTCGGAACAAAACTGGCGTGTGAGTGATCTTTGGTTTGGTTGGTTACTCGTAGTCATCGAGCTTCAAGAAAATTGTTTTTCGAAATATGGCACTTGATATGATGATTAAAATAAATGTCGTGTGTATATAGTTCAGTTTGGTTGAACATATTGTCGGCAAATTGTATCACTGACTCGTGATAGCAAAGGATTTTTACTGTGTATGTAACATGTTCAAGTTGAACAAAGTGACTCGTGATAGCAAAGGATTTTTACTGTGTATGTAACATGTTCAAGTTGAACAAAGTAGCGTTCGGTAAAAATGGATTTCATTGATACATTATGACCAGCAATTGGAGCTCATACAGGAACTGCAGAAAGATATATTGGGACAATAATTATAATTAAAAAAAAAAAAAAAAAACACTCAATTTTGGCTCTCATAGTTGTTTGCATAGCCATTAACTCTGTATCCGTTGCTTACTTCTATGTTAGCTGTGTTAGCTAGGCAAATTTGATCAACTAGACAATCCGAGTCGAGTTGAGCATTATCTGATGTAGAGGATGTAATCGAAAGGGAAATTACGAACACAAGAGCAGATTTCTTTCTCAGAATAATAATACGATGATGGCCATTAACTGTTCAGGAGTGTGGTTACATATATGAAGACCCCACTACTCCACAAACTCCTATTTATTTAAATAAATACTCCACTAAATAAAAATAACATAAATGAAAACTATAATAACTTAATAAACCGACAACTAAATAAAGACCGGGAAAATAAATAAACTAGACTCGGAGACGGTCATATTTCTGCATGAACGCCAACGCGGCCTCGTCTCCATCATCCTCCCCGGGTTGAGGAGGATTCGCCCTCGAATCCGAATGGGCCTCGTCTTCGTCGGAGTTGTCACCCGCGAACGGCACCAAGTGTTTGACGTTAAAAACGTCGGAAGTGCGAATATGCGACGGGAGCTTGAGACGGTAGGCATTGGGGTTGATCTTCTCCACAACCTCAACCGGGCCAATTTTGCGAGCGGACAATTTATTATACTCGTGAGCAGAAAACCTATCCTTCGTC